TGTTCAAGCTGTTCGCTATACTCTCCCCGAAAGCGACGAGGTTTTGGACGTGATGCTACGAGAGGTTCTAATCCAGATGCTTCTGACAATGCTACAAGACTCTGATATGGATATTCGCCGACTGGCAATGACCACGCTCACTACAGCTGCGCGATCGAAGCCCGACCTAATCCACCCGCACCTGGGAGAACTGATGCCATTTGTTCTGCAAGAATCAGTCATCAAGAAGGAACTTGTGAAGGAAGTGATGATGGGTCCTTTCAAGCACACCGTCGACGATGGCCTGGAGGTCCGAAAGGTGCGTTTACAATAAACTTGTTGTGAACAGGAACTGACTCTTGACAGAGCGCGTATGAAACACTGTACGCCTTGATGGAGACTGCATTCAGTCGCATCAATAACATCGACTTTTACGATCGTGTCGTCGCTGGTCTCAAGGACGATAATGATATTAGGCAGCTCTGCAATCTCATGGTGACCAAGCTGATCGTGATCGACCCCGATGAGACAACTCGACGTTTGAACTCGATCGCTGAGGCGTACAGAAGTGTCCTCTCGGTGAAGCTGAAGGATAATGCCGTAAAGCAGGACGTAGAGAAACAAGAAGAAGCCAACAAGAGCATTCTCAGAGTCACTTCGCTGTTAGGCGAGAAGATGAAGGCCATGACTGGTAACGCGGGGGCAGCTACCAGTAACGCTGGTGCCGCCAGCACCTGGACAGGATACTGGGATTGGGTCAACAAGGAGTTTGAGAAGCAGTTGAAAACATTGAGGGAGGAGAACAACCAATTGCAGACCCGGATGGTCTAGGATCTAGACGGCTATGGCGATGACAATACTGGACGACGCAGTCCAGACAATTCACCCGTTTCATCCTCTAACACAACGATCGGTTCCCCCGAGGACTGTGCTGGTTACCGATAGAATTAGTAACTATCAGTAAAGCAATTACAGCATTTATACAGTCTTGGACCACATATACTGGATGGTTACTGGTGGTAGCAGACGGATCCTGTGAAGCGAGAAGATTAATTGCACTACGACACAAAACATGAGTTTTATTAGTTAAAAGCGTTGGGAATAACTCGCTTGGAGCCTCTGCATTGTTGCCTGCCAGCGACTGTATCACGGAATTACTTTGGGGGCCAAGGTTAAGTGGGTATGTTAGTACCCAAGAAGCCGTTCTCGTTTCTTGATAGACCTCTCAAGATGATCGATTCTAAAGTTGTCTTTAGATTAAAAGAGTCCATATTTTGGCCCATAGTCCTTGACTCCTCTCGCCTGTATGTCCCTGCTTATAAACACCACTTTGTCTTGTAGCGGAGTTGCTCTCAACATTATTCGGCGCATGATGATGCCTAAATGGGTAAGTGGGATAAAGAGCATGATCGCCAGGCCAAGGCATGATGAGGACTGAGGTGCATACCTAGGGGCCAGGATGTTATGCGGGGGATTATGTGCCTTGCGGGAGGATAACGCGCCGTCTTATTTATATAAAGCTCATTCTTTTCCTTCATTTTCAGCCGATTGAGTCCTGAATTCATCGCTTCAACCTTTGAGTGACTTGCATGATGAAGATCGCCGTGCAGCCTCTCCCTCTTTTGCTTTTACTCACGGGCGATGCACTCGCTGCAAAGAACTACCATTGTCCTCCAATTGGTCCAGTCCTCCCTGCACCAACTGACCCAAGTTCACATCGAAATGTGAAAAATGCCATTGAAGCCATCACAGAAACTATAAAGGCCTATTCTAGCCTCCTGCACAGCACAGCAGTCTCAGTCGGTGTCACGTCAATTCACGAAGACAAACCCTTGCTGAATTTCCATCACACACCAGAGAACTTAGATCCTCGAGGTGTAAGCAAGATCGATGCCGACTCGGTTTATCGCATTGGTAGTATCTCGAAAGCGTATACCACCCTCGCTGCGCTCAAGCTCAAGGGAGTGGGCATGCATGACCCGGTGACGAAATATGTCCCTGAGTTGAGGAAGTTGAATAAGCAACAGGGTGAGAATAATGTGATTACGACTGTTGATTGGGACAAGGTATCGCTGCAGGCTCTTGCATCGCACATGGGAGGCATGCCTGCTGATCGTAAGTTTTGAGTCCAATGACAAATGAGGTGCTGATGCGTGGTAGTGGTGACGGATTTGACGAGCTTCAGGAATTGGACTGACCTAGGTCTTCCTGCTGCGCATGATGTTCTTGGGTGTGCTGGTCTGGTCGGAATACCCCCCTGTGACGTTCAAGGTGAGTTATGACCAGCATAAAAGAATTCAATTGACGAGCATAGACTTCTGGGACAACTTTGGCAAACGGCCTCCGACATTTGCACCTTGGGGAAACCCCGTGTACTCAAACATCGCCTTTTTCATTATGAGTTTAGTTATAGAGAGAGTTTCAGGCGAGTCGTTCGAAGAGTTTGTACAGAAGAATGTTCTTGATGTTGCAGGGATGAACAGCACGACTTATGCGAAGCCTGATGACTCCGTGGGAGCCATTGGACCTGATGACACTTTCTGGAATAGTTCTATCGGTATCCTTAGCCCGTAAGTCGGATCACATCTGCAGGCACTGACATCTGGCTAACTTGCACAGGGCTGGCTCGTTCTACTCATCAACAAAAGACCTCCTCGCCTTCGGATCTTCTATCCTCAAACACGAGTTCTTGGACCTGGCAGAAACAAATAAGTGGCTCAAGCCTGTGACTTTTACCAGTGGTAGGGGGGAGTTTATCGGGGCACCCTGGGAGATTGTGCGATCGAATAAGCTGACCTCTGACGAACGGGTGGTCACCGTCTACACCAAAGGAGGTGATATAGGAACCTATCACTCCATTTTTGCAATGATTCCAGACTATGGTATCGTTATAAGTGTATTAGTGGGAGGACCTGAGAATGCGGGGGGTCTTCCTATGGTATTCTTCTCCATGATCACAAAAGCTCTTGTGCCCGCACTTGAAGCAGCGGGTAAAGACCAAGCAAGGAAGTCATTCGCAGGGACCTACACCAACGAGGACACAAACTCGACTCTTATTCTAGATGTTGACGACGACGGCCCAGGGTTGAGCATCACAAAGTGGATAGTCCGCGGAACAGACGTCTCGACACATTGGCTTCACTACCTCTCAGTGCTCAACCCCAACGTGCCCAAAATCCCACTATCTGGACGACTGTATTCTACAGATCTCGCAGCGGAGAATAAGACAGCGTGGAGAGCAATGTTTAGAATTGGCACGGCGAGTCAGATTGGGATGCAAGAGGGGTTGCTGTTCTGGGAGGATGCGAGTTGTATGAGTTGGGCGATGGTGGATAGAGCTGCGTATGAGTTCTTAGGGTTGGATGAGATGGTGTTTGAGAGTGAGGATAGAAAGGCAGGGAAGGTTGAGTTGGTGGGATTCAAAACTACTCTGAAGAGGAGTGACAAAGAATGATGAATATGTGTATTGTGTCTATACAAGAAGTGCCAAAGTTCGCCAAATCGCTTTAGTTGTCATTGGTCGTTGCGTTGAGTAGTGATCATGAGATGTCTACCGTGATCTGATTGTGCGGTTGAGAGTATCGATACCTATGAGAGGCATCATGCATGGAAAGGCCACAGCGTATGGTGTGTCGAATGTCAGACGTCGAGGGTGCACTGTAGGAGATCGAAGAAGAATCGCGCCTTCTGCAATAGCTGTCAGTTATTACTAAAGAGTCAAGAGGAAAGAAAAAATCACCCTGGTTTCGACCAGAATTAGACGGTGACCTTCTGCGGAAGCAGTGCCAGAAGACGAGGATGAAGGTGGGGACATTGACTAACACGCCAACGATAGCGACTATGACCTCTGAAGGCATGGCCATGCTGCGAGATTTGGCACGTGAAGCGCTGGAATTTTAATTTGAGAGAATGATAGAGCACTTAAGCAGTTGAAAGGGAATTTTTCAGCATGGCAAGTTGTCATTTCAAAGGCGAAGCATGTGGAAGCTGGAGACGATATATATGCATCCCAGCTTCGCGAATTTTCGCACCGTTCCCCTGTTCCTGAAGTATCGAAGGAAGGCCTGAAAATTCTGGTCTAAATAGTCCACAGGCCAAAGACACCAATCAGAGGGGTTACTCTCTTGGCACACGCATTTTAAAATGGTGACTCGATCCTGGATGTGGTGGCGCATAGCATTGTGCTTTCGGTGAGACATAGAAACGCGAATTCTGGCCAGCCTATCATGGCTCTTCTATCACTATAGGTAGTTTTGATCGTTTATTTTTCAGGAAATCGTCACTGCACTTGTGATAAAAATGGGTTTGGAAGCATCTGGTTAGATACTCGAGTCTATTCATAGGCGCCATCTTGTAAAGTTGACTTATGTAGCAGTTGCAGCATGACCCAGCATGACCTAACCACTTCCCAGAGGATTCGGACCAGGAAGAAACCAACCTACATTATCACTGAAAAAGGTACGCGGTTCCTTCTATATCTAGAGTATAGCTGCACAACAAGCGCCCAAAATGTATAACAAGGCATTTTCGAGCCTCTCTTATTCACAGCCTGATCTTCATATGAAGTAACAGCATCTTCAGCCACCCCTGCCCAAGAGCCAGGCCAGGCCCGATGGCCAGATCTTACGTTCTTCAAAGTACTAGGTAGTTTACTATTGGCACTAAAGACCCTGGCTCGCATTGCTGTGTGGCATATGTGATTGACAAAACGCGAATTTTGGCGGCCAATCAGTGACTCGAGGAATCAACCTCATTGGACCTCTGCTGCATGATGACCATGCCCTCCAAATCAGGCTCTGAAAGAGTACGTATCAAACACGAATTCTGGACAGAGGTCAGCTTTGACCAGGTGCTCGGGCCCTTTGAGTATTCGAAAGCCAGCTGGTGAAATCCTCGCCTGGTTTGGTACTTAAAGGTCTGACCCTCTCATCCATTTCCTCAACTTCCAGTACAATACCCTCACCACTCATCATTTCTAAAAGAAAACTTTTCCCAAGAGAAGTCTCCTGACACTATTCAACATGCCGCAAGCACCAAGAATTCCACCCGCTGTATGGGAGGCACAAAAGCCCCGCATAACTGAGCTGTACATCAATCAAGACAAGACTCTCGACGAGGTTATCCAGATCATGGCCGAATCTGGCTTCCATGCTACGTAAGTCAAATTGATGCCAGCTTTTTATTGATTACCTGACCATAAGATAGAAAGCCCCAATACATTCGTAAAGTAAATGTCAATTGGAAACTGCAAAAGAATTACACCAAAGAAAAATGGCAGCATGCGAGCGCTTTAGTTAAGAAGCGTCAGGCAGAGGGAAAATTGACGGAACTCAGAATTGATGGTCAAGTCATTTCAGAGAAGAGGAGGAAAAAGGAATTGAGAAGATACCATGTTTCACAAGTCGAAGAAGAGTGTGAGTACATCATACTTGGATACCTATACTTGCTAACTCGTTATGTTCATTAAGTCGCTGCTACTAATACCTCTGGCGTGGTTGCTTGTACACCACCATCGTTCAACTCCAGGGTCGTTCTCATCAATGGCCTCCCTTGGCTGAAGTTCCAAGAAAGCTTCAGTAACCTCAGTGAGTTTGTTCTTAGCCCAGCTGTCTTATGTCGATACTTATGCAACACAGTCAAGAGTCAGCGACTACCGTTCAATCCAAACCAACAAAATGGGTCACCTGGCTTCTGGGAAGCGGCAAATAAATTACTATCCGGCGCCCATAATACCGGGCAAATGGCTACTGGAAGTCTGCCATTGCCACCAAGACCTGTCTCCGGCGACCTTTTGAAACACGTCGACATAAAAGGACAGAGACTGTTTGAACTAGTGCCAATGTTGGATAATTCTATGGAAATCCTCCCACACCAAGAGCCGCCATGGTTGCAAATTTTCAACTCGCTGGTGTTTCTTTGTTCCAACAATCTGATGGAAATCGGAAGCTCCGCTTACGAGCTTCTCCAGGTCGCCATCTCGAGTGGCTTTCTCATCAAGGTGAAGCATCTATTTACAACAAGTTCACCAACCCTCGAAATATTTGCAATACACCTTCTGTTTGCAACGCTCGGAGTTGAAGGAAGCAAAGGAATGGAGGTCCTGCGTTTCTTACTCGAGTCTGGGATCAGCCCTGACAGCACTGATCCGAGTAAATATGGATGTTCTGCGCTCCACACAGCCGTCAGGGAAGATCACCTGGACGCCGTTCAACTCCTTCTTCGATCTGGGGCAGATCCAAATGGAAAGGTAGAAGGCACCGAAGACATCACACTCGACACTCCTCTCAACTACGCCCTAGACTGGAATGCTGATACAGAAATCGCAAAAATGTTGATTGAATCAGGGGCAGACGTAAATCTTGGCTCTGAGAAGCCTTTGCTTCAGGCTGTCACCCGCAGACAGGGGGACTTGGTCCTCGTAAAGCACATGTTGGAAGCTGGAGCAGACCCAAAGATGCTACCAGCAAAAGGTCTTTCGGCGATATACTCTGCAATCATCGATCAGGAATTGAGTCTGATCAACACATTGATTGAAGCGGGAGTGAGTCTGAACTTAATGGTCGACGAACTTGACGATGAGGATATTGAATTTGTGGAATATGAGTTCCGATTACACTACAACGCGACCAGCATCCTTACTCCTCTAGGATACGCAGTATTTATTGGCAATGCTGGCATTGTCAAGCGCCTCATCGAAGGTGGCGCAGTCCTGGACATTTTCATTGATCCAGAAATACTCGAGCAGATGGAAGGAACTCTGTCTTCAGATCAAATCTTGACTCCGCTACAGTTGTCAGTCCAGGAGAGCCAGCATGAAATCACCAAGATCTTGCTGGATGCAGGCGCAGGCGCAGGCGCAGGCGTGGACTTCCGACATCCAGCCACTGGGACAACACTGCAGTTAGTGTGCAGCTCATCAATGGAGGAAAGAGAGAAGATAGAGTTGACTAAAGTCTTGTTGGCAAAAGGGGCAGATATCAACTCTCTGCCTGGAGAGCATGCAGGGAGGACAGCAATGCAGGCTGCAGCAGAATCTGGGCATCATGACCTCCTAAAGTTGCTTTTGACCAGAGGCGGCAATCTCTTCGCCTCTGCCGCTAAGGAAAATGGGTTGACAGTTTTCCAAGCCGCATTGAGGTCGCGCTCTGTTGAGCTTGTGACTTACGTCTTCTGGGAATTGGGGAGTTCCTGTACCTGTTTCAATTTCTTTGACGGAACGAACTACCTAGAGGAGGCAGTGTCTACTGGAGACTTGCAGCTCCTAGAAACGGTAATGAAGTTCTGGAATCACCATGAGCTACATTGGCCGAGAGAGTTCATTTCGTCGGCCCTCAGAACCGCTATCCGTCATGATTTCACGCACTTTATTCACGTTCTCGACGCCGGCTCATTTACTATCCCTAAAGAAGCGGCCAGCTCAATGATCTGCGAATCTATCTGGAATGGCGATGAGAGTACCTTCGATTGGCTGATAGAACGTTTCGCCGGGGCCGAGTTGGATCTTGCCCAGCCTGGATATCCAACACCTCTCTGGCTAGCAATGCACCAAGGGAAGCGGTATATGGCCCAAAGTTTACTCAATGCTGGCGCCAATCCCAACAAACCGTCACTGGTAGTATGTCGCAACAGTTGCTGCCATGATATCGGATCCGAAATGCCATTGAAGCCGGCGATATGTCAATCCGATAACGATCTCATAGAATTACTCATTGACAAAGGAGCAAAAATACATTGCTTTATCGATGGTGATTTAACGCCGCTCCTCTTTTCCCTCAGAAGCAAAAATGAAGATGCAGCTGTTTTTCTTCTCTCCAGAGGGGCAGATCCAAATGTGGTGGACATTTCGGGTAGATATACTGCGCTTGGGTTTGCTCTGGACCGGGTTGCCTCTCTTTCGACGGTGCAGACACTCATTCAACGTGGTGCAGATGTTAACAGGCCTTCAGTGTGGGGGACAGCACTTGAACAAGCCGCAAAAGAAGACTTTGGGCAACATGATACTTTAGAGCGATGTCAATTACTTCTGGCAGCTGGCGCCAACGTCAATGCTTATACCCAAAGCACTGCACTCAAGTCAGCCGTTGCTCGTGGTGATGAGGAGTTGGCCGAGCTTTTTATTGAAGCAGGCGCTAATGTCAATGCCTCAAAGATTGGTGTGACAGCACTTCAACTTGCGGTCCAGAATAACAACACAAATCTTGCAAAGATGCTTGTCAAAGCTGGCGCCGATGCGAACACTTTCTCGAATGGAACAGGTGCTCTTGGATTGGCTGTCAGGAACAATAACCTGGAGCTGGCCATACTGCTCCTTGCAGAAGGTGCTGATGTTAACGCTTTAGCAATGGGAAATACACTACTACAAGAAGCTGCAAGGCTAGGGAGTTTCGAAATGGTAAAACATCTCATTGATCGAGGTGCTGATGTTGACGCAAAAGTCCCTCTCAGTACCGCAACAGCTCTTCAGTACGCCTCAATGGGTGGTAGTGTTGAAATTGTTAAGTATCTCATCGAACATGGAGCATCTGTCGATGAAGAAGCTAGTCCTTTCTACGAAGCAACAGCACTCGAGCTTGCAATTAACAGAGGGCATACTGACGTAGCCATATATCTCATCGAAAAGGGGGCTCCAATCGACGAACGTTCCACTACTAATGGTAAAACACCTCTTCAGCTTGCCGCAAAACATAAATATCACGAAATTTTGACCTATCTGGTTGAGAAGGGAGCGGCAGTCAATGCAGCGCCCGCGACTGAAAGAGGGGCAACCGCTCTTCAATTTGCTGCGATCAATGGTAACATCAAGATGGCTATTTTTCTTCTCGAGAACGGGGCTCATGTCAACGCCAAAGGAGCAGAGGTTCATGGAAGAACTGCACTTCAAGGAGCAGCAGAGCATGGCCGACTTGATATGATTCATCTTCTATTGGATAACGACGTGGAACCTGACACGATTGAGGAAAGGTGTTGTAATGCAGCAGAGTTTGCAGAGGTTGAGCACCATGACTTGATTGCTAGAATACTGAGAAACTACAAGAAGCCATGATTTCTACCAGAGGGGGGATGCAGGTATGTTGTTGATGATTGTATTCATAGGTTATCTAGATTGTGTTGCTGCACTTGAAGTATCATGCCTAAGCTAGCTGATTCAGGGCGATCACACCATTCAAATCTCCTCCTTCTGCTTGTTTCTCTCATCCATCTCGACCTGTTCAACGCTGGCAGTCTCAATGTCCTTCTTTTGGTGCTGAGGAAGGTTTTCGTCATGGACACCAGCAACAGCGTGCTCAAAGGCACGTCCACGCTTCTCAGGACCAAACATAGTGGTGAACATGATACCAAGAGCAATCATAGCAGTGGCGATACCCATCACAGGGCCATAAGCCTCAACCTTGTCACCGTTCTTGAGTGTGACGAATGTCTTTTCGGCGATGGCGTTGACAATCTGAGCTGAGGGGGATGAGATCATGTTGCCAATCTGGTAAGTGACACCAGGGAACGAAGATCGGAAGGCAGGGGGTGACAGCTCGTTGAGATGGATGGGAATGACACCCCAGGCTCCCTGAACGAAGAACTGGATGAAGAAGCCAGAAGCACTCAGTCCTCTCTCGGTTGTCGGGAGAATCCAGGCTGGGATCATGAGGGCAGACATGAAAGCCGACACGATGATGGCACGGCGACGACCAACGAACTGGCTGAGGTATCCAATGATGGTACCACCAACACAAGCACCAGTCTTCATGAGAATCGAGGCACGAGAAGCAGCAGAGTTGTTGAGTTCCTTCTGCGTCAGCATGAAGGTAGTGTAGGAGTCTTGAGAAGTGTGCGAGTAATAGTTGAACCAGGTCATGAGGAAACAACAGTAAACACACATCTTCCACTCAGCGATGAGCATTTTCTTGCAGTCTGCCCAGAAAGCACCAGGAGTGGAAGACTGCTTGCCCTTGGCGCGGGCTTCGAGGAATTGTTGGGACTCGGGGAAGAAGATACGAACGATGCCGACGGCGATAGAGATGCCAGCTGATGAATGTTAGTAAATATTAAATGATAGGCTTTGGTGCCGACAGCTTACCAGCAATCCAGAAAACGGTCTTCCAACTCTCAGTGCTACCTCCAACGCCAAGGTTGGCGCATGCAGCCAAGACGTAGCCGAAAGAGTAGCCCTGCTGCAAAATACCGGACATCAAGCCTCGAGCGTTGGAACTAGAGCGATATTAGCACGGAAATAAAAACATTCTCCAAAACTTGGCAAACTTGGCATGATGAAGTTCAATTGGGGTAGGTTTGACTTACGGGCACGACTCGAGAGCCATGGCGATAGCATTGCCGTAGACTCCGCCCATGAAGAGACCAAAGAGACTTCGCACCGCGAGGAACTGCTGGAAGGTTGAGCTGTAGATGGTGGCGATCTGAAGAATACCGAGGATGATCATGTTGAAGACCATGGGCCACTTGCGACCCCATTTGTCACCAGCGAGACCGAACATGGCTGCGCCGACAGATCGGAGAAGGAGAGTGAGGGTGATGGCGGTGGTGATGGAGGTCTTGCTGGTGTCGTAGTAAGCCGCCAGCTTCTTGGTCTGGATTGACAGAGCGTGGAAGTCGAATGCATCAGCAGTCCAGGCGCAGAATCCAACAAGGAAGAAGACCCAATCTTTGCCAGAGAGCTGAGCCATGAGACTGATGGGGTTCTTGATGGGATCTGGGTCCCGCCACTCAGTGGTCTCTTCGCCATGCTCGTTGGTGACCACGACGCGCTGCTTCCAGATGAAGAGATCACTGAGAGCTTGCTTGGCTGTGGGAATGACACCCTTGACCACAGGGCCAGCGGGCTCGCCTGCAGATGGTTGTTGGACCATTGTAAAGATGCTTATACAGGTCTTGTAGGGAGGATGGATTGAGGAGGTGATGATGGTTGGGGAGGATTGAGTTTACGAGGAGAAGAGGGGGGCTTTATATCCCTTTTGCGCAACGCCAGCCACAGCCGCAGATCACAGCAACAAGCTTAATGTGTTATCTCCGATTACAGCATCATCACTAGCCATTCCCCCTGCCATACCGTACCATGCAGTGTAATGGTAACATGTCGCACCAACACAAAACCCTAGAGTTACAGTAGACGTGGGGATGGGTCTCGAAGTTGGGGTACTCTTCTAGCGGATCATGCCCGTGCACAGAATGTGAGGTGACCGCCCTAGCCTTGTTATGTTCCCCGCAGAGTGAAGGAGGTATGGGGATGCAGAAGGGATTGTCATTTGTTGAGCCGGGTGAGAACGGAGGAGGAAGTTGGTTTATTGACTGGGATCAAGGTTGAGAGTTTGTTGTCTGCGTGTGCACGGAGTATGCGGGGGAGAAGAGGATGACAACGGATCCGCAAGTCATACGAATGTACGAGTTTAGGTAGACAATAATCTGATAACAATACTACGTATTCAGGCATTTTTTCTCTATTGTCTTGTTTTTGTTATCTCGTTATATGACATATCCCCCTCTCGCCATAACCTATGACGCTGTATCACTCCATCACCCACCAAAAGAGGGTTGGAAGCCATGAAACACAATTGGTCACATGGGATTAATCACCAAGATAACAACCCCGTTCGCATACACACAAAAGGGTGGACACCTCCAAAACGTGCGGAGAGGCCGAGCCAGACTTATTCGGCAATACGGCACCGCTGTGCTTCTCAGTGTAACTGCCGATCACCCCGGAGTTTACGCTTATACCACTTTAACGTTAGGGTTTGGCATAACATTTTAAGGCTCCCTGTTAAGCTTACCTTGCACCGTGAAATATGGGGGCCCTCACACCCACTGACTCTGCGGGGAGAGACAACTAACACCTAGAACAACAGCGGGCTAGCAAGGGCGGAAGTAGGCAGAACTCTTTTTTCTCACAGTCCCCGCTTACGCTGTAACTCACTACAGAGAAAACAGAAACAAGTGGAGGCAGAATTGGGGGATACACGCCGAGTCTCCATCTCGATAAGTGCCTTGGCGTTGGAGGTGAAAGGTATTGGCGTCTTCTTGGTCACATCTAAAAGTCTACAAAGTCTCTAGGGTCTGAGGGTGCACTTGGAGGTGTAACGATGACCCATGGCGGTTGTTGGTTTAATCCCTCGTTGGTCCATGCTTACCTGCATCGTCTGTGTGAGTTAGGATTGTTCTGGAAGTTGATCGCCGTGGCACTTCTGTAACATCGTCCCTCTTTCGCCAGTCACTTTTGTAGTCCGACTGTTTTTCTTGGTTGGCGATCATTTCGACGGGATGACCTCACTAAGTGCGTCTTGGCTGACTCGGGAAATAATCGCCTTGGCGCCGAGACGGTTTCTCAATGAGGAAATCCGTCGCATTGCATCCGACTTCATCTATTGCCAACAGCAAATGTTTTCTGGCACGTTTGTCGCTGAAGACCAGCCAAATTACTATGACACGTTATGAAGACTACTAGAGATAAGAGACAGCATAACAGTGTCAGTGCTTGACGAGTCAACAAGTCTTCGGAGCCAATCTTCCCTCCGTCTTTTCCCCAAAGTGAACAAGGGTTCCCTCCTCGGTTGGAGATTGAATCGCGGGGCTAGGCTGCATCTGCTTCTTTAGTCACAACCTCCGATCAGCATTAACCCAACAAAGTAATTGGCTAGAAAAGTCGACGCACTCTTCATCGCACTGATTGGTTCTCGACCCCCAAAGTCTCGACGTTCTAGTGGCAGCTCGTACGATATCTCCAACCTCCACTTGAGGGGAACGATACGCCTCTAGTCTGGCTGGGGGTTTCGTATGCCCGAGGTCAATGCAATCTTGACTTTCCACTGAGATCCGGGGTATCTGGGGTTGGTTGCACTTGTTCAACAGTGAGAGATTAGGGTCCGTGTCAGAGTCAGCCCAAGGGAAATGTCGGGAGCACAAATGTGACAGAGTCCCAAGTGCCACGGTTCCAGACCCCGACGATGCATCGAGACTGGGGGCACGAACGATAAACTGCTATCATCACAAGCGCCCGCACCTCTAGCGTTTTCGAGAACATTTCCCAATTATAACTCATACAGCCTTTCTCCACGCGTTGGCAACCCTTCTTTCTCCAAATTGTGGCAAACCTTACCCCTGCCAATACGTGGAATGCTTCCGCTTACACTTCTATACCTTGATAAGCATGTATGCTTTTTATTCGGATCATATCGGATCATTTCGGGATGTGGGAGGATGGCATCATGATAGTGAAAGATTGTTATCGTGAAATAGGTAATGAGCTGTTTTGATGTTTGCCTTTGTGCCATCTTCCCCATACAGAAGCTGAGATGTTTCCGTAGGTCCGAGATCTCAATCTCAACCCCATAATCTGAATCTTTCTCCAGATGTTAACCATGTCTGTCATACCACAGTTGCAGTGTCCCCAGAATACGGGCCTCAGATCACCTGATTTGAGATACAGCTGGGATGAAATCCTTCGTTAATCTTGTGTTATGGGGCTGTGATCAGATGTTGGCTGTGCATTGGGGACGCTTTGACTCCAACTTTGTAAACGCGTGGAAATACGAGTCCGCGGCAAGAGATAATCTGATGCTGGGGTCATGGTGATGTGATTCGACGGTGATGTGATTTGGGGTAAAGAGTTCCAGACTATCGTTGAAACTTGAGGCATTATGGAGTGGTCTCTAAATTGTGAGCTAGGTATGTCATCCGCTTGGCTTAAAGTTTATGCTCGAGCCCTCTATTAGTGATGGGGACTAGTCATCCCTCGTAATACTTCCTGGACCAAACAACAAGGTTGGATGCGCAGCAAGGGTGGTCGCGCAAGATTGAAACCATCCCAGCTATTTCCACTCGCATTCAGACGACAAGTTTAGAAGACCATGTGCCGAGACATCCGGAGTTCTAGACTAACTGTAAGCGCACTGCACGTGGTATTATTGGAAGTGTTTCGCTGGTTTCAAGCCACTGAATTGTGTATGGTTGAGTCACCGCTTCGGTTCGTGATACCTGCTTGGTAACAGACGGTGCGGGCGCCAAATTGCGATCCTTGGCGCCTCAGCTGTCCCCCCGTCC